GCTTATGTGGTGTATAGCATTACTCATTTAGATCTTGCACAAGTGAAGGGCATTACTAATAAACCCCTATTCACTTTGCTTCTTACAGCACAAGAGTTCCTCTGTGGCCGTCAACACCCTCTTTATATCACACATATTCACTTTCCTTCTGGGTTGCCTGGTCCCTTATCAGAAGGCAACGCTAGAGCTGATTCTCTGGTATGACCACAAATGTGGTTTGCAGACTTTTCTGTTTTTTTGCGAGTTCAAGCTGATCCTGCTTTTTTTTCATCAGAATGCCTGCAGTCTTAAACAACAATTTCATTTAACACTTGCTCAAGCTCATGTAATTATTAAAACTTGTCCTGGCCAGCTGCAGTGGCCCACGCCTGGAATCCCAACACTTTGGGAGGCCAAGGCAGGCAGATCATGAGGTCAAGAGATCGAGACCAGCCTGGCCAACATGGTGAAACCCCGTCTCTACTAAAAAATACAAAAATTAGCTGGGTGTGGTGGCGCGTGCCTATAGTCCCAGCCACTCGGGAGGCTGAGGCAGGAATCACTTGAACCCGGGAGGTCGAGGTTGCAGTGAGCCAAGATCTTGCCACTGCTCTCCAGCCTGGCGACAGAGCGAGACTCTGTCTAAACAAACAAACAAAACAAAAAACTTGTCCTAATTGCCAACAGCATTCTCCCTCTCCTTTTTCCTTAGGGCTTGGTGCTGTCCCACGAAGTCTGGTGCTTAATGCTATCTAGCAAACTGATGTTACCTCAGTATCCACCCTTCGGACATTTTCATCTCCATGTTACTGTGAACACTTACACAGGTTTGATACATGCTACCCTCCGGACTGGAGGAAAAAACTAAAGATGCAGTTACTCATTTGTTTGAATCCATTATAACTTTAGGCCTTCCACAAACTATAAAAACTGATAATGGACCTTACTATCTTAGTACTCAATTTACATATGTATTGCAACTTTAATGCATACAACACAAAACTGGTATTTCCTAGTACTAAACCAGTTAGGCCATCGTTAAATGAGCTCATTAAACTCTTAAATATATCTTAGTAACCAAAAAAGGGGGAATATGGGGCTCTTTCCTTGAGAGCAGGACCTGTCCTTGGAGATCCAACCAACAATGATGGTGATGGCTCAGAGATGCCTGACATTACTTGAGGACACCTAAAGAGATTTTATCAACAAGCAGCTATCCAACCTGCCACTGTGGAAGCTCCTGCAACTGCAGAGAATTGGTTTCTTTCCTTCTTTCTTTTATTGTACTTTAGGTTCTGGGGTACATGTGCAGATCATGCAGGATTGTTGTTTAGGTACATATATGGCAAGGTGGTTTGCTGCCTCCATCCCCCCGTCACCTATATCTGGCATTTCTCCCCATGTTATCCCTCTCCTACCTCCCCACCGACCACTGTCCCTCCCTTAGCCCCCCCAACAGACCCCTGTGTGTGATGCTCCTCTCCCTGTGTCCATGTGTTCTCATTGTTCAACATCTGCCTATGAGTGAGAACATGCAGTGTTTGGTTTTCTATTCTTGTGTAAGTTTGCTGAGAATGATGGTTTCCAGATTCCTCCATGTCTCTACAAATAACCCGAACTCATCCTTTTTTTAATGGCTGTGTAGTATTCCATGGTGTATATGTGCCACATTTTCTTTGTCCAGTCTATCATTGATGGGCTTTTGGGTTGGTTCCAGGTCTTTGCTATTGTATATAATGCCGCAATGAACGTCCGTGTGCATGTCTCTTTATAATAGAATGATTTGTAATCCTTTGGGTATATAACCAGTAATGGGATTGCTGGGTCAAATGGAATTTCTATTTCTAGGTCCTTGAGGAATCACCACACTGTCTTCCACAATGGTTGAACTAATTTACACTCCCACCAACAGTGCAGAAGTGTTCCTTTTTCTTCACATCCTCTCCAGCATCTGTTGTCTCCTGATTTTTTTTTTTTTTTTTTTTTTGAGATGGAGTTTCGCTCTTGTTACCCAGGCTGGAGTGCAATGGCGCCATCTCGGCTCACGGCAACCTCCGCCTCCTGGGTTCAGGCAATTCTCCTGCCTCAGCCTCCTGGTCTCCTGATTTTTTAATGATCGCCATTCTGAGAATCGGTTTCTTAGGTATCTGGCAGTAATTGGGGAAACTTCTGAGAAAGACAGACAGACATGGATGTTGGGGTGGCTGGTAATTCTTGTCCTTTGCCAAGTGGGATCAGCTTAAGAACGTGTTTATTGGTTGTAGGGCACGTTGGGTGCCAGATGTAAGGCTGAGTGCCCCACAGGGTCATGGGGTGAGACTTATGCTGTGCTGAGGCGCAGGATCCGAGAAATAAAGAGCCAGGACACAGAAGTACAAAGAAAATGCAGCTGGGGGGCCACGCCACCTATGAGCAGAGTCAGGCGAGGCTGGCAAGGCCCCGAATGTCCAGAAGCATGAGTATTTATTGTGTATAGGTTAGGGGGCAGGGCAGTGAGTGAAATCGTCTTTAAGGATAGTGATAGGGTCGTGAGCAGTAAAACATAGGGTCCACCCCATTAGGTCACCTAGGCCAGGAGGTGGACAGTGCACTGCAAGGGGCCCGTTCCCATGAAGGCAAGGGCCGTGTGCAGTAAGGGGTCCACCCCCATTAGGTCACCGAGGCTTGAAGGTGGGCTGTGCGAAGTGAAGAGGGTGCAGTGTGTGATACTTCTATCTATGGGAAAACTACTTCTAAGATTTATAGGAGGATGCTTTAAGTCACATAGCAGTGACAGAGCTGTCAAAGTTACCACCACCTTCTGGCAGCTTCCAATGGGTTCTATGGGAAGATGCTTTTCAAGCAGCACAGTAGCAAGAGTTGATGAAGTTCACAGTCACCAAGGTGGATTGCCGTTCTGAGGGCAGCCTTCCACAAGAACTGCAGCAAGGTCCTACAACTCCTTTATCAGGAGGAGTGGCTCTTGCCCCAAGCCTGCCATACAGCGGGTATCTTTACTGAACGCTGCCGCCTGGGCCATGGATTCTTGTTCTGGTATAACTGTTTTTCCCTTAAATCATGCTCTGCACTGTGTCTGCTCTAGGCATTCCTCCGATTATAAGCTGCTTATCCCTAAATTTATGCTCTGTACTATGTCCACTCTAGGCATTCCTCCGATTATGAACTAAGATATAATTATAGGTACATATGTAGGGAAATATTCTTTAGGCACTCATACTATCAACTATTATATGATTAATAGAGAGGATTATATAAAGGGATTCTTCAAGCCCTATTTCTATAAACTAATATATGATTATGTAAAGGATTATATAAAAGGAAATAGCTGAGTAGTAACACTATAAAGTGAGATATTCCTTAAGCCCTAACTGTGCCAGGGTTCTGCTTAGCTCTCATTCCTCAGTGCCTATATGGGGTGTTACCCACAGTCATGTTCTAAATACCCGTTTTTAATGTTATTACATGGTGGGATGCTGACCTGCCTTTGTCAACTAATGATACTTCTTGGACAGGAGGTCAATAGATGCCCCTGTCTTACCCCTTAACTGGAAATTTGAGATGGATTAAACTTAATGACTCCTTGTCCAGTAATCCCACTCTTTGTTTTTCCACAATAGCACATGATAAGTGTGTTACTCTCATTCCTCAGGAGTATCTTTACTATCAGCCTAAAAGGGATGCTCAGCTCACAAATTTGACCTTTATTTTTGCTGCTACTACTAATCTTACTGAGGACTCTAATGAAGCTACACAAGTGCCTGATCTTCTTATATGCCATCCAAGTAGGGACTGGTGATATAACTTTGAGGCTGTCCAGTGGGCCTCTGTTTGATAATGGCACTTTACTTGATTGGAGTCCCCATGGTTATCTTTTTCTTTTTATTTATTATCTTTGATATGGAGTCTCGTTCTTGTTGCCCAGACTGGAGTGCAATGGTGCGATCTTGGCCCACCGCAACCTCTGCCTCCCAGGTTCAAGTAATTCTCCTGCCTCAGCCTACCAAGTAGCTGGGATTACAGGCACCTCTCACCATGCCTGGCTAATTTTTCATATTTTTAGTAGAGACGGGGTTTCACTATGTTGGTCAGGCTGGTCTCGAACTCCTGACCTCAGGATATCCATCCACCTCAGCCTCCCAAAGTGCTGGGACTACAGGCATGAGCCACCGTGCCTAGCCCCCATGGTTATCTTATGTTTGCAATCAGACTATTGGATCTGGGAGTCCCTCCAATACTTCTGTCACCTAGAACCAATAGGTTCTTCTGAAAACCTATTGGCTTTCAGAACCAATATTACAACTAAAAGGGAAACAAGTTTTAATACCCAAATTTGGTATTATCGCCCTGCTGATACCCAAATTTGGAGATTAGGACTTCTTTTTTTTTTGTTTTTGAACAGGTTCTTTCGCATGATGAGTATATTACTAGTGGTGGCAACTGTACCCTAAAGTTGGACTTGTCTATATCTAGCATGCTTCAAATCCAAAGTATAATTCTTTTTGTGCAAAGTTCTTGTCTCCTATTCATCACTCCCACATCCTGTCTTGTCCCATGAGCAGGGTATCAGCTCTACAAATGTAGTATGATTAACAAGTTGTAGCCCAAAAAGGTGAGGACAGAAAAGAGAGAAATTTTTCAAGTCACCTGTACGGGTGAGCTCCAGGCAGAAAGTATCATTGTGTGGAACAGCCCTGGCCAGTGAGAAGCCAGTGGAGAAAGATAAGAGGGAAGTAAAGGGGAAGAAGTAAAATATGAAGAAATAATAGGCAAAACTTCCCAAATTTGATGAAAGACATGAGTCTTTATTTTTAATTTTTAATTTTTTTAATTTTTTTTATTTTTTGAGATGGAGTTTCGCTCTTGTTACCCAGGCTGGAGTGCAATGGCGCGATCTCGGCTCACCGCAACCTCCACCTCCCGGGTTCAGGCAATTCTCCTGCCTCAGCCTCCTGAGTCGCTGGGATTACAGGCACGCACCACCATGCCCAGCTAATTTTTTGTATTTTTAGTAGAGACGGGGTTTCACCATGTTGACCAGGATGGTCTCGATCTCTTGACCTCGTGATCCACCCGCCTCGGCCTCCCAAAGTGCTGGGATTACAGGCTTGAGCGACCGCGCCCGGCAGACATGAGTCTTTAAATCCAAGAAGCTCAACAAACTCCAAGTAAGAGAAACTCAGAGAGGCCCCACACTGAGTCACATTATCATCAAAATGGCAAATGGCAAAGAAAAGAGTGCTGAAAGAAGTGATTTCTTACATAAAGGGATTCTCAATAGTGAAGATAAACACTATTTCATGAGCTTTTCCACCTTTTCATTGTCTATCCATTTTGTCACATTTTCATTTATTCTCAGAGAAGGAACTCTTTTAATTCCTTTTTAAATGTTTTAATTTAAGTGTTCTTTGTAAAGTTTTCTGTACTTTGCTTTTTAGATTATATCCTTTTTTATTTTCTTTCCAAAATACTTTCTTTCTTTTTCTTTTTTTTTTTTTAAGATGGAGTCTTGCTCTGTCACCCAGGCTGGAGTGCAGTGGCATGATCTTGGCTCACCACAACCTCCGCCTCCTGGGTTCAAGTGATTGTTCTGCCTCACCTTTCTGAGGAGCTGGGATTACAGGTGCATGTGACCACGCCCAGCTAAGTTTGCCGTTTTTAGTAGAGACAGGGTTTCACCATATTGGTCAGTCTGAACTCGAACTCCTGACCTTGTGATCTGCCTGCTCTGGTCTCCCAAAGTGCTGGGATTACAGGCGTGAGCCACTGCACCTGGCTGACAATACTTTCTAAATAAAATACTTACTAATTTTAAATAAGATAACATGGAACTATTTCCTTTGTAGAGCCAAACTCCTAACATTAGCTCTTTGGTCACTGGTTGCATCTTTTCTTTCACAAAAGATGTGAGCATGCAGAAGAAAGAATCCACAAATTTGAAGATAAAACTTTTGCACAATATCGACTCTGAGAGGCCTAAAGGAAAAAGAGTGAAGACTAAACAGAACTTAAGGGATCTGTAGCACACCACTAATCAGACCAACATACACATTGTGGAGAAAGATAAAAGAGAAATAAAGGAGTAGAATAAAATGTGAAGAAATAATAGGCAAAATGTCCAAATTTGATGAAAAACATGAATCTTTAAATCAAAGAAGCTCAACAAACTCCAAGTAAGAGAAACTCAGAGAGGCCCACTGTGAGTCACATCATCATCAAAATTGCAAATGGCAAAGACGAAGAGTGCTGAAAGAAGTGATTCCTTACATAAAGGGATTCTCAATACTATTAATAACAAATACGTCATCAGAAATCGTGGGGGACATAGTCAGTGAGATGACATATTTAAGAGCTGAGAAAGAAATCCTATCAACCAAGAATTCTGTGGTCATCAGAAATGTTCAAAAATGAGGGAGAATTTAAGACATTCCTAGAAAAACTAATGGCAAAGAAGTTTACCACTACATTTGCCATACCAGAAATGCTGCTGGGGGTGGTGGCTCACTCCTGTAATCCCAGTGCTTTGGGAGGCCAAGGAGGGCGGATCATGAGGGCAGGAGTTTGAGACCAGCCTGGCCAACATAGTGAAACCCCATGTCTACAAAAATATAAAAATCAGCGAGGAATGGTGGTGCATGCATGTAGTCCCAGCTTCTCGAGAGGCTGAGGCAGGAGGTTCACTTGAAGCGAGGAGGCAGTTGTTGTAGTGAGCTGAGATTGTGCTACTGCACTCCATCCTGGGCAACAGCGTGAGACTCTGTGTCAAAAAAAAGAAAAAAGAAAAAGAAATACTAAAAGGAGTTCTTCAGCGTGAAATAAAAGGATGCTAGACAGTAACTCAAGCTGTGTGGAGAAATAAAGATCTCTAGTAAAGGTAAGTACATTGGACCACATTTGTGATATTTTTGTATATAACTCCAGTTTTTACTTTTTCTTTTTGAGAAGGAGTCTTACTCTGTCACCCTGGCTGGAGTGCAGTGGTGTAATCTCAGCTCACTGCAACCTCCACCTCCTGGTTCAAGCAATTCTCCTGCTCAGCCTCCCACATAGCTGGAACTATAAGCACATGCCACCATGCCCAGCTAATTTTTGTATTTATAGTAGAGACAGGATTTCACCATATTGGTCAGGATGGTTTCAGTCTCTTGACCTCGTAATCCACCCTCCTCAACCTCCCAAAGTGCTGGGATTACAGGTGTGAGCCACCGCACCCAGTCTCCAGTTTTTACTTCTTACTGGATTTTTAAAAATCAATAAAAATTGCCAGGCATGGTGTCTGGCTCTGTCTCCTAGGCTGCAGTGCAGTTGCACAATCACGGCTCACTGCAGCTTTGAACTCCTGGGCTCAAGCAATCCTCTTGCCTTGGCCTCCCACAGTGCTGGGAGTACAAGTGTGAGCCATCTTACCTGGCCTCAGTAGGAAATATATAGCTGTAAATACCTACAAATAATTTTATATCTTGAGGAACTACCAAAAAAGAGGAAAGTAAACTAATCTTACAGAAGGAAAGAAATAAGAGGGGAAATACGTGAAATGGAGAATAGACGAGAATCTAGTCAATGAGAATCAATGAAACAAAAAGGTGTTTCTTTGCAAAGATCAATAACATTGACAAACTTCACTTAGATTGCCAAAAAAGACAGAAGATGCAAATAATTAAAATTAGAAATGACACTGGGGCATACTACAACAAACTTTTCAGAAATAAAGATTAGAAGAGGATACTATGAGCAATTAATTGTACAACCTAGATAACCTAAATAAAGTGGACACATTCCTGGAAACACAGAAATTATCTTAACTGGATTAAAAAGTAATGAAAAATCTCGGCCGGGCGCGGTGGCTCAAGCCTGTAATCCCAGCACTTTGGGAGGCCGAGGCGGGTGGATCACGAGGTCAAGAGATCGAGACCATCCTGGTCAACATGGTGAAACCCCGTCTCTACTAAAAATACAAAAACTTAGCTGGGCATGGTGGTGCGTGCCTGTAATCCCAGCTACTCAAGAGGCTGAGGCAGGAGAATTGCCTGAACCCAGGAGGCGGAGGTTGCGGTGAGCCGAGACCCACCCCAACCACTCCCCCCCGGGGAAAAAAAAGGAAAAAAACCCCCCCAAAAAAAAAAAAAAAAAAAAAAAAAAGTAATGAAAAATCTCAACAGATCTATAACAAGAAAAAATATTAAATCAGTATTTCAAAACTTTCCAACAATGAATTGGTAAGGACCAAAGAAGTGTTAATTCATGAATGAATTGTACCAAACATTTAAAGAATAATTAACACCAGTGTTTCTCAATATCCTCCAAAAAAGTAGGAGTCCGGGTGCAGTGGCTCATGCCTGTAATCCCAGCACTTTGGGAGACCGAGGTGGACAGATCACTTGAGGTCGAGAGTTCGAGACGAACACCAGAAACCTGTCCCTTCTAAAAATACAAAATTAACCTAGAGTGGTCACACATGTCTGTTATCTTAGCTACTCAGGAGGCTGAGGCAGTAGAATCACTTGAGCCCGGAGTGGTAGAGATTGCATTGAGCCAAGGAGGCAGAGGCTGCAGTGAGCTGAGATCACAGCAACAAGAGTGAAATCTCATCTCAAAAAATTAGGAAAAAAAAAAAAAAAAAAGCGAGAGACTCTCCTGGCCAACATGGTGAAATCCCATTTCTACTAAAAATACAAAAATTAGCTGGGCGTGGTGGCGCGAGCCTGTAGTGTCAACTACTCTGGAGGCTGAAGCAGGAGAATTGCTTGAACCCGGGAGGTGGAGGTTGCAGTGAGACAAGATTGCATCACTGCCCTCCAGCCTGGTGACAGAGTGAGACTCCATCTCAAGAAAAAAAAAAAAGAACAGGAGAGAACACTTTCTTTTTTTTCTTTTATCTTTTTTTTTTTTTTTTTTGAGACAGAGTCTCTGTCACTCAGGCTGCAGGGCAATGGCATGATTTTGGCTCACTGTGACCTCTGCCTCCCGAGTTCAAGTGATGCTCCTGCCTCAGCCTCCTCAGTAGCTGGGATTACAGGCATGTGCCACCACAGCCAGCTAATTTTTTTGTATTTTTAGTAGATATATGGTTTCACCATGTTGGCCAGGCAGGTCTCAAACTCCTGACCACAAGTGATCTGCCTGCCTTGGTCTTCCAAAGTGCTGGGATTACAGGCATGAGCCAGTGTGCCCAGCCAGAGAGAAAACTTTCTATATCTATGAGGCCATCATTGCACTGATACTAAAGCCAAATAAAAAACAACTCTTGCTGGGAGAGGTGGCTCATGCCTGTAATCCTAGCACTTTGGGAGGCCCAGAGTGGGTGGATTGCTTGAATTTAGGAGTTTAAGACCAGCCTGGGTAACATGGTGAAACACCATCTCTATGAAAAAAATACAAAAATTAGCCGGGCATGGTGGTGCGCCTGTGGTCCCAGCTGCTTGAGAGGCTGAGGTGGGAGGATGGCTTGAGCCTGGGGTGGTAGAGACTGCATTAAGCCAAGATTGCGCCACTGCACTCTAGCCTAGGTGACAGACTGAGATCCCATTTCACAAACAACAACAACAACAACAACAACAACAAAACCCTCAAGACAAAGAAATTAGAGACTGTCTTTTGTGAATACAAATGCAAAAATCCTCAAAAAATATTAGCAAATCATATCCAACAGCACATTAAAAGCACTATACACCATGACTAGTGAGATTTACTGCAGGAATGCAAGGTTGGTTCAACAAATGAAAATTTTAAAAAACGTAATTCTTCACATTACTAGTACAAAAGACAAAAACCCCACAGAATCACCTCAACTAATGCGGGAAAGGCATTTGATGAAACCCAACACTTTTCCATGATAAAAATTAAGAAAACTGGTTGGGTGCAATGGCTTACATTTGTAATCCCAGTACTTTAGAAGGCTGAGGTGGGTGGATCACAAGGTCAGGAGCTTAAGACCAAACTGGCCAAGATGGTGAAACCCAGTCTCTACTAAAAATACCAAAAAATTAGCTGAGCATGGTGGTGGGTGCCTGTAATTCCCAGCTACTCAGGAGGCTGAGGCACCAAAGTGCTTGAACCTGGGAGGCAGAGGTTGTGGTGAGCCAAGATTGTGCCACTGCACTCCAGCCTGGGTGACAGAGCAAGACTCCATCTCAAAAA